CTGGAATGGAACCCAAGATTCCTGAGTGTTACCATTCCTCGGCTGTCAGCAAATATCCGTGAAACCCACTGGCAAAGAAGCCCATACCCCTCTAGTGCTGATCCACGTGAGGATGACAACTGACTACCAGGAGCCTCACTTGCTAGGGGCAAAAGTAGTCGTTGGTTTGCCCCTGACTTTGGTCTATATGCTCTGCTTATTGTGTCCCCCCTCACACTTTGCAAAATATAATCTAATCACCTATAAGCTTCTATACCCTGACATAACTTTGTCCCTCCCTCCCCCTAAGAATTTTTCTGAAATAACGCCCCTGTCAATTACTGCTATCAATTACTCTGTTACCTCAGCCAACCTTAATTCTGGCATTTCCTAACTTTCTGAGTGCTTGACTTTGCAGCCTTAATAATGTTCTTTTAATGTAGGTTTTTTGTGTGCATATATAAATATAATTTAAATCTTATTCCTGTTACAAGCATTTTAGATAAATAAAACTGAAAGGATTTCAGAAATCAGATTTACTTTCTACTAGTATGCAGTTTGTTTACTTTCTGCCATTCTCTCCGTTTGGACAATTTAAATAGGCGAGGCAGTTTCACTTTTTAGGATCTCGAGCTATGCTGCAATGTTGGGGTTTTCAAACACTGTAGGAGAATGTTTAATTTTTTGAAAAAAATCAATTGGATTTTTAAAAAAATCATGGAAACATTTCTATTGGTCTTAGACTTTTCCCAAAAAATATTTATTTTACAAATAAATGTCATTTGGCTACTAAATCCAATAGGTGCTTTTAAAAATCTCCAAAATCTAAATTTGGAGCTGCACAATATCCTTTAATTTAGATAGTGTATGTGCCAAATTGTAAATCTTTGTGTAAGTCCCCGGGATATTACTGTAAACAACTAACTAGTGTAAAACGTACATATCCGTATTCTGCAACAATCTTAAAATCTTAACAAGTTGAAGCATCATACTTAAAAGCAAGCTCGTGAGACACCTCATGGTCATTGGGAGTATAACGGGAAGGGAAGATTTAGCACCAAATTATATTTTACCAAGATGCACTAATCAGAAGTGCCAATCTCACCAAGTGTAGTTGTAGCCATGTTGGTCCCAGGGTATAGACAGACAAGCTGGGTGAGATAAAATCTTTTATTGGACCAACTTCTGTTAGTGAGAGAGACAAGCTTTTGAGAGTGGCGTGAAAGCTTGTCTCTCTCACCAACAGAGGTTGGTCCAGTAGAAGATATTACCTCACCCACTTTGTCTCTCTGATCTCACCAAAGTCATCCTCTTTCCCAGTGCATGTTAACTTCTGGTTTTGATGATAGGAAATGATTTAATTTTTTGTTTGTATTTTTGTCAAATAATTTGTTTTGAACATGTAGGGGATCAGATGCAAGATCTGAAAGTAGAAGGGTGTGATTGTGTGGCTTTTAGAAGAACATGAAATAACTAGAAAACAATAAGTGTACACTTTGGAACAGCAGGGGAAAGGCAGAATTTCATAGAGTCGGTGGTAATGGGGCAGAGTGAAACCTCTCATTTGCTGCATGTGCAGTGCTAGAGAGCCCTGGGGGGATTGAACTGCGGGATTTTAAAGCCTCTACTTCTTGAACTAAAAGACCCTGTTAGCTAAGGCTGGAGCAGGCTCAATCTATATGTGGCCCAACCACCATTAGAGGGGGACAGAGCACTGCACCCTTAAAAAAGATGCATTTGCTCTGCTACAAGCTTGGCCAGCCCTGCTAGGAGGAGCTGGGGGCCATTGCTCTATGGTTCCTCTCCCCCTTTAGTTTGACTTTTGCCTCCAGGGGCATCAGGAAGAAGCAGTCCCTGCCCCCATGGGAGCCCACTGACTTGTGAGCCACCCCTAATCCGCCCCAGTGATTGCTGGTGATCAATACAGCAGCCTGCCTTTGGGGAGTGCACTCCCTTCTCGGAGCTCTTAGCCACAGCCAGCCTGGGAAGAGAAAGATTAGGAGCAGGATTTGAACCTGTGGCACACACGTAGCAATATGCAAAGCATTGTCACTCCACTAGCCAGGGAAAGTCCCTTCTAAAGGGTCAGATCCTGGGAGGTGAAGTCAATGGGAGGTGAAGTCAATGGGAGGTGAAGTCTCCCAGCGTCTCTCAGGTGTTCAGTATTTCCCAGGACTGGGCCCAGAAGCTGTGTGCCGTTGGCATTACCTGGCACCTCTGGCAGGGGTACGGAAGCTCTCCATCGTGCTGTGGTTGATATAGATCAGTGGGGGCAGTATGGAAAAATCTGCCTGTGCTATGCCTCAGTCACCAGGGCAGCAAATCTGCCACCTTTCGCCAGCACTAAATTCTCTGGATCAAGGGAGTTCGAAAATTGTTCCCAGCTAAAATTCTAGTGCTTGAGTTCCTTGGGCCGGGTTTGACATGGGTGCACAGTTGGGGGCAACACAAGGAAATTCTCCCCGCCCTGTTGCATCACCTGCACAAGGACCTGGCACAATTGCAATCCCTGACCTCAGGGGACTTCCCTCGTCCGTCTGCCCTGAAGGGGGCAGGAAGGCGGCAGGGCCATGGCACCAGTCCACGAAGCAGGCCAGCTGCCTTGGAAGAAGCAGGCTGCCCTGTCCCTGTGGTGTGACTCTGTACTGCCCCCTGCTGGAGCCAGAGGCTAACTGCCTCATTGGTCTTGTGTGTTAGCGAGCAGACGGCTCTGTGAATGCCGTTAGATGGAGCTTCCTATAGCCTGCACGGAGTTGAACGCAGCTGTGCCCGGTGGAGCTGGTGTTTGGGATCTTCCCAAATAGAAGTGAGCCTAGTCGGCGTGTTTGTTAGGATGGACCTTAGGGCTCGTTTACACAGGAAAGCTATATTTAAATTGGTAGAGCTATACCAGTGTAATGCACCCCCGGCCCTCATGGGGGCACTGCTATTCCATTATAACACACCCACACGGCGAGTTATACCATATAACTATCGCTGTTTAACCACACTGGTATCATTATCTGCGCATCACTGGAAACATTTCCCATGCGATAAGCTCTTGTGCTGTAGGGACGCTTGGCCCAGATACCGACCTGCACCGTGCTATCTAGTCCATTGGAATGAGAGGCAGTCAGGTCAGGGATCTTACATGGCCGCCTCATTTGTGGCGATGCCGCCATCGGGGCTTAGATCCCAAAGTGATCGGTGCCTTGGATACCACTGCAGCCATGTGAGTGGCTGTCTGCCGTGTCACTACGTGCTGTGACTTATGGACCGTAGCTGGGGTGTCAGCTCAGAAAGTTAAATATCTCTGCTTTCCCCACTCGCCCCCTCCCGGGCCGAGATGCATGGACAGCTGCACCTCTTGTGTCCCCTGGTTACAGGGCTACTGCTGCAGGACCCATGCTGCCGGGGATGTGTCCTCCTGATGCTGCTCAGTAGAGGCTATTTGGGGGGTGGCAGGGAGATAGAACTAGGTAGGGTTTACTACTGCTCCATGCTAGGTGCTCCGATCTGCTCTGATGTGTGATGGCTCCAGCCCCAGCCTTCCCCACTACACCGCTGCTGAGCCTCAGCAGAATGCCGTCCTTGAGGAGCCTGGGGGTACATCTTACATCTATACACCAGCCTACAGAAAGCCTGAGTAAATGGGGTTTGCACGAGGGAACAGTACAGGGATTGGGGCGGAACAAAATCCGACCCACCGGCAGGGCCTGGGGTAGCTCCACAGCCCCTCCAGGGTTGTTTTTCCAACTCCAGGGCTGGAAAAGAAGTCCATACCCACTAAGTATGGACCTAACGGCCGTGCCTCTGCTCCTCCCCAAATGTCCTCTCCCCAATGGCCTATGCAGAGCTGGCATAGGCTCAATTCCGCAGTATGCAGGTTGTGGAGACCCTGAGTCTCTGCTCCACAGCTCCATACACTGCCTGTTGGCGCCACGGCCGGTCTGAACTTTAGGGACCTTCTATAGGTGGGTGGAAGTTCACCCTTCCAGAGCAGACAGTGTTGCCATGCTTTTTCCCAGAAAGCTGTGCAGCTCGTCTCGCCAGTAAACCCACTTTAGTAACTAAACTGCATTGGAAAGTTGTTATTATTATTGACTATTTGTATTAGGATCAAGTTTGGGTGGTAGGTGCTGTCCAAGGCAGGGACTGTAACTACCTCTGTGAACAGCTGACAAGCAAAGATGAGCAATATGCAATGGCTAGGGGGAGGAAGTCCAGCTGCAAAGCACTTGATATACATATGCAGATTTGCTCATTTATTTTTTTAAATTTTGTAATTACATAAATATCTCTCTTCCCACACTTTCCCTCAGCCTGGCCATTAAACACTGGATGATTTCTTGGATCCATCATTGTAGTAATGGGTCTTATTTAATTTGTTTCCTCCTTTAGCATTTAATGTCAACGTTTTGATTGTCAAATAACCCAAGAGACTTGCACATATCACAATATTTTGGATACTGAGTTGGAGCCAAATGATTCCAGCCTAGAAAGTGAGGGTGTGGAGTGGAAACACCAACTCACATTATCTGTAGCAGGTGGGTGGGTGGATTAGTTCTAGGTAGGGATGAATTTTAACCTACTTCTCCAGGTACTTATGTGATCCTTCATCACTGCATCTTAGGCCCAAATCCTCAAAGGTATATAGGTGTTAAACTCCCATTGAAATCAATGGGCATTAGGTGCCTGCATACCTTTGAGTTCTGGGCCTTAGTGCCTCCCAAGTATCTCTCCTGACAATATCCTAGGGTGGTAGAGAAGCATGAGTATCCTCAGTTTACGGATGGGGAAATGAGGTAGAAAGAGATTAAGTGACTTGCTCACGGTCAAGAGGAAGATGATAGCAGAGCTAGGATCTGAGTGCAAATCTCATACCTAACCACAAGACCATTCTTCCTTCCTGGCACTGTCCTTTTTAATATTATGTATATTTTAAAAAAAAATAAAGGCTAAATTGGGGGCTTAATGTGGCAGCACCCCTTTAAGTATCTATGCTCAAGTGATAACAGGTGGCTGTGACTTTTGTTTTGTAGGCAGGACAAGCTAAAAATCCACATGCGGAAACACACAGGAGAAAGGCCATACCTCTGCATACACTGCAATGCCAAATTCGTGCACAACTACGACCTAAAGAACCACATGCGCATTCACACGGGTGTCCGGCCTTACCAGTGTGAATTCTGCTACAAGAGCTTCACTCGCTCCGACCACCTCCACCGCCATATCAAGCGGCAGAGCTGTCGAATATCGAGGCCCAGGAGGGGGCGCAAGCCCGCAGCCTGGAGGGCGGCCAGCTTGCTGTTTGCACAGAATGGCCAGCCAGATGAAAAAGGCTTCATGATGCCTCCAACTCTGGAGGAGATGAGCAGCCATCTTGGCACCACGGCCATGTGCCTTCCAGGCCCCAGCCACAAGCACTTCATGAGTGGGGCCAAGAATGCTCTAAACCTGCAAGATCTAGAGAGCCAGTTCGAAGAAACCCAAATGAAGCTGTTTGGGAGGACGCATCTGGACATGGAAAGGAATGGGGGCATCTTTGCCTTTGCCCTGGGCCATAACGAGAACATCTCGGCACGGCCATACTTCCCTCTCCCTGACCCTTGGAGCACAGGATTCAATGGACTGCCCGGACTAAACCATGTGGCCCCAATTTCTGAGGCTAGCAACTAAACCAGTTCTACCCATGTATTGGGTGTGGTACGTTCCATACCATTTTTAAAGAGTGAACGACTCTCTCTGATTCTCACCTGCTGTCTCCCATCTTCTCACTCCAAAGAAACAATTGATCGCCCATGTGAATCTAGACTGTGCCGTAGGATGGCAGGCGGAGCCACACCCGAACAGACAACGGACATTCTTCTGAATGAGGTGCTGCTGTTGGTATTATTCTGTGATTGTACTAGGAAATGTAGGTTGAGTTTGTCAGTGACTCCATCAGCACAGTCTGCTAGGGGTGTCCTTTTAGACCATTTGTAGGGCACTTGGCATAAGAGCTGACAAGCTTGTCTCCTCCCAACAGTAGAGCCTGCCCTTAGTTCTTGGAATCCAATTTTGAGGGAGTGGGAAGGGTCAAGCTCCAGGATACAGGTGGCTGGTCTTTTGAATGCTTCTGAAAACATCATTTGCCTTAGTTTGGAGGTCAAGACAGTGCTTCAGAAGGAGATTTCCATTGCTCTCCATTCGTGATACCAGATGGTCAGCTGGACATCAGTGAAGATGGCAAACCATTTTTTGGCCACTTCTAAATTCCTTGTTTTTTTTAACCCCATAATCAAATGACAAAAACAGTCTGAAAGGGCCTCGACATGGGCCAGATTCTTAGCTGGTGCAAATGAATGCCCCTCTGTGCAGCTGTGCTGATTTATTGCAGCTGAGGATCTGGCCTAGGGTCATTACCAATTACTAGCAAATATGTCACATGTCAGAATCCCTTGACGAAATTCTGAGCATACAAAGACCCTGCTGTACAGGAGCATCTGGGAAAAGGATTCGGATATTGCTCAGGGGATCCTGATTGAAAATTATTATACTAAAGAGTCCACAAAACAAGACTGTCACTGAGTGCCAGTAGAAATCATTCTTCAGCATTTGTCAGCTCAGAAATATAGGGCTTACAACATAAAATATGAGATACTCCACTGAAAGAAGGCTTTGATAGCAATGTGCTTCTAGTTTCCCCTTTTAAACAGTGGTGGTAACGTTTTAACAAACAGTCTACTGAGGTGACCTGCAGTTAGTTTGATGCCAATACAGAGACTGGTTTTAAGTTTAATCAAGGCTCAAAAATGTAAATTTTAAAAACTATGGCGTGCTCGCTCTTCTTTTTACTGTTATCTTTCGGTTTCAGCAGAATCAAAGGGAACCAGAGGACCATAGTTTCTTTTTTTTTAAATTTCAGTTCATCTATTAAAGGTGCTGCTCTTCAGTCACAATTCAAGGAGGGTCTACTGGAGCACTGACGTTGCTACGTGCACGAGACAAAATGAGAACCCTCTTCGAAGTCGCTCTCACATATGATTCCCTTTGTCAAGAAGCACTTCGAGCATAAATAATTCCTTTCTGCTTTGAGAACACATTTAAAAGAATGATCCTGATGAACTGCCTGAGACTAGCTTCCCCCCGCCCTCCAAAAGTAAATGCACAGAGACCCTGTGTGCCATGAACAGTGGGAACTGGAAAGAAAACTTTTTAAAACTGCATTAAACTTTTTTTTGTATATGTACCAACTTCTTATACAAACTACATTTTACAGACAACTGGTTATTTCAGGTGTTTTTGTCTACGATTTGGAGTCATGTAAAGTATCCAAAGATGCTGAGTACTGTATAATCTACGAGAACTTGAAGCAAGGTGTGTTTTTGGTTTTAATTTTTTTTTTGGTTTTTAATTTTTTTTTCCTGTTTGTCTGTGGGGAAAAAAACTTTGGAAGTTTTCTATTTATAACTATTTTTATGTGATTGCTTTATGTACAAAAAAAAAAGAAAGGAAAAAAATACACACAAACAAGTTTGCCTTAGTTAATCATGGGACAATCATCCTTAACTTTTGTTGAACCTATAGATTTTTTTAAAACGACAGGCTACTTTTACATATTTATTAAACAGTATTAATTGAGTCTCTTAAATTCTGAACAAGACTTGGTTCTTGTGTGTGTGGCAAACCTTGGAAAGCCAAACTGTTCCAGAAGTCCAACCAATAGCAAATTTTTACTGTAACATTTAAATGCCAATTTGTTTGCAGAATATACAAATTTGGAGGCTTCCAAAGGCTTTTTGTAAAATATCCACTCCTTTATTTAATTGTCTAGCTGCAATGTTTATGATTACAATAAGAAGTTAAGGCTGATTTTCCCTGAATGAGCTCTTTTTGGTTGTATGTAGCTGGCTGAGATCATTTCATGGTGGAAGGAATATAACAGACTCTATTTCTGCCTTGCAGTTTCTTTACATTTCAATGTTGTGCGGTGATGTTGGGCCACAGGTATATATACAGGTGTTCATGTGTGTGTGAAACATTGGAGGCACATCTCACCGTGCATTCTCCATGACCCTGCCATAACTCAGCCTTGCTCTCCTAAGCATGAACTGCATGTCAACCGTGACTGTCAATGAGGTTCTTTTCAGCTGCTCCCTAGGAGTCTGAGAGGCTAATAGCATTTATAGCAGTATAACTCTATTAGTTGCAAGGGAGTCCCTTCTGATTTCAACTGGTGTGAGATCAGAATCAGGCCTTTTGCCTGGAAGGAACTAGGTATGGCTACATTCTCTCTGAGATAGTGGTGAGGTTTAGGGTGACCAGATAACAAGTGTGAAAAAGTGGGACCCTTTTTTTTTTCGGGGCTGGGGAGGCAGGGGAAGGTAATGTAGTTGCGTATATAAGACAAAGCCCCTAATATTGGGACGGTCCCAATAAAATTGCGATGTCTGGTCACCCTAGTGAGGTGGCATCTTCTTCCTCTTCTCATCATTATTAATTATGGCCCAGATACTGGAGGTACTTAAGCATATGCCTAATTTTAAGCACTTGTGTAGCCCCGTTGACTTCAGGGCCTATCATTCTTGTCACAGCGGAAGAACAACATAGCTCTCCATTTTTTAGAAAAGACCAGAAGCCTGAAAAAAGTGGAACTAATACATTAAAAGACCAAAACCAAGAGAGCGTTTAACTTTCCTCATAAGAGCAGTGACTAGAAATCAGACAGGAAGCCACATACAATTCTATCCAACCGGTAGAGCCCCCGGTAAGTCACCTTGAGACACCAGATGTTTGAGTAGCTACATATTCAGTTAATCAAGTGAAAGGATAAGTGCTAAGCCCTGGTCAGCTTTCCCAGTTGGCCACAAATTCCTGCAAACGGATAAGAAAACACGCAGTAGTTCAGTGATATTGGCTGTTCATACAGCCATCGTCCCCAGTACCAGAAAGATGTGGATAAACTGGTTGATAATTCTCACACACAAAATATATTTGCACTATATCTACACACACACACGGGACATGTCATTCGGTCATGATGCATGCACTAATAAGTGATGTTTACACGGTCTGGGTAGCTCTGCTTGAGCTAGCGCACAATTAACTAGCAGTGTGGACGTTGTGCCACGGTCTAGCCGCCTGGGTCCAAGGCTGCCCAACCCCCTGGGTCCGTACTAAGGCAGCTAGCCCACACTGCTGCTTGTGTCACAAGGCCCACAGTGCTATTTTTAGCGCACTAGCTCGAGCCGAGCTAGCGCATGTCTGTCTACCCGGGCTGGGAGACGTGCTCCCAGCTGCAGTGTAAACCTACCCGTTCCGACCTTAAAGTCTATGAGTCTATTGAGGCCACGATTTTGAAAATCTGGTGCTGCAAACGTATAGGGAGCCAGTTCTGCAAGTTCTGAGCACTCTCAATTACAATTGTCAGGCTTAGAAAAGTCATGTCGTCTCCTTTCTTTTGTCTCTGTGCAAAGGCAAAAGAGAGAACGTACCTTCAGAATGTTTCATTCTAGACAGACAGGAGAGCAGGAGTCTCTTGTGACCCCACAAATGGGCAGGGACAGCTGGAGAACAGAAGCAGCTCTGCCTCCAGTCACCTTCCCCATTTGCTGGGGAGAGTAGCTGGCTGGGTGCATGAGGGTAGAAAGTTACTGCACAAATAACAGGTGAAGGAACCAGTGTTTCCAACTCTCGTTATTTTATCACGAGTCTCAAGATAGTCGGTGTTTCACTTGAAGCCCCAGCTCCCGGAGTCAGGTGATTACAGGAGAATCTCAGCTTGCATTAGAACAGTAAGTTTGTAGTACTCATGCTTGCAGAGAAAAGCTTGACAATGCCCCTTGCATACAAGGCTCAGAAACCAGAGAGTAAATAAAAAAGACCCCAGCTTTTAGTGTTCTTTTTAAATCTTGTGCTGTTTATGCCACACTTGTGATTTTGGGGGCAGAAGGGGGGGCCTGACTGAAAGGGTTGAAAATGCTAAGCTTGAATATGCTTACTAGGTGCTTTCCCACTCTCTCTCCCCCCACCCCTGTGAGAAAAATGTAACTGCCTCACAGCACAGTGTATAATACCTGTGGCCTGGAAATGCCTTTTTAGTTGTTTTTATGTGTCGAACCAATGTTTTACTTGACTTGCACTAATTGCTGTAGAGCAGTATATGGTTAGATTTCTTTGGTTGGATTTATTTTTTTGGTTGCAATTCCTATTGGCTAACGAGCTGGCAGTCCTATAAACATACCTGTTGCACATTTTACACCCCTGGACAAAATAAAATATAACCCGAAACAGCCAGTGTCCTAGATATTCTGAATGTAGCCACTTTGCATCCCAATGCCCCAGCCGGCACCGTGGAAAATTCTGCTTCCTTTTGCAGAGCATCTAAAAACCAGCAACACTTAGGGCTTGAGCTTGCAAGTCCTTGCTCGGGGTGCAGCTTCCAGTGACGGTGCAATGGCTGCTCCATGTGGGCTCCAGTAGAGTTAAGTGCCTCTAGGCTGCAGGTCTGTCTACACTTAAAATGCTGCGTCACTGCAGCTGCGCTGGTTTAGCGCGTCAGTGAAGACGCTATCTATGCTGACGGGAGGGCTTCACACATTGGCGTAGGTAATCCACCTCCCTGAGAGTCGGTAGCTATGAGAAGTCCTCCCGTTGACATAGCACTGTCTACACTGGGAATTAGGTCAGTATAACTGCACCGCTCAGTGGTGTGGATTTTCCACACCCTTGAGTGACATAGTTATACTGACATAAGTTGCTAGTGTAGACCAAGCCTGAGTGATCATAAACCCCAAGCTCCCTGCAGACCCAGGCCCCTATTCAGGAAACCATCCTTACTCTGCAAAGTACACTGGAGTACATTCATGAATTGAGGGCCCACTGCCATACTCACGTA